TGGCCTCTCACCTAGAAAAGTGGAAGGCAGTTGAGAAAAAAAAACTTGCAGGGGTTTTAACCACTCCCTACTTTATTCAAAACTAAAAAAGAAGGTTTTGGGCTATACATACACTTTAAAGCAACTTTATTGCCACTAGATGCACTAAAGTCAGCAAAGGCACAATAAGAATACTTACCAGTGCCAACACTATTGAATGAAATCTATGGTCTTTTGCAGAGCTTTACCCGCCACTAGGATCTTCATTACTAAACACTACTGGAGGTGTGAGATGTCTGCATCTCCCTGCACGCACTGTGGTTCCAACAGGTCAGTCACTAGTGCGTCACCTCAGAGGTGCAGAGACACAATTGTGACCTGGAGGCCAGCAGGCTGAAGCACAACATGCAGCAGAGAGATGCAAGTATCCGACAGAGCTACAAGTGTTGGTTACTGCAGGTTCCAGCAGCAGTGCAGTTCTGCAAGAGTAAAGATTCCATTCAATGACAGCAGGACTGGTAATTCATTTTACAGCTCTCCCTTTATTATTTATATAAGCATCTATTCTAACCTCTACACCAAAGATAACTGGGGCTAAGAGGAGATATGAGCAGCAGGATTCTCCCATTTAGATGGAACCGCCGTCACCCATCAAGCTATTGACCAGGTGACAGCAGCCACATCTGTATGCAGCAGTCCACATGTAATCATATGTGGTTTGGAATAGAACATTAGTCCTGGATGCATTACATACATGATTCAATGATTACATGTGGACTGTTGAGTACAGATGTGGCTACGGTCACCTGATCATTAACTTGAGGGGTGACAGAATCCTAAATCACACATTCACACATGGAGTGAATGTAGTCTGTCATGGCAGAAATACACATTTAATTTGTACAGTGCTGCAGAATTTAGTGCAACAAAACAACTTGTTTCTGCAGCAACCAATGAGAGGTCAAATGGAAGAACAGATCTACCAACCCTGCCCTCTTACCAAAAGGTACCCATTAAGGATTTCATTAGTGACGTGCGCTTTTCACATCTACTAATCAAACTGGGCCAGCAACCTATGGTGCCCTAATCTAACATGATACCCCATGCACACCTGAGCGTTTTGTTGTCAGTTTCCTCAAATGGACATCGCTCCGTTCATATCCGAGTGCTGTGCCGCTTGAAAAAATACATGAGCTTTCTCCGGCCAAAATTGAACATTGTTGGCCCTAGACTTCAATGTGAGCGCATAAAAAATGTGCATATCTCACATGATTTTGTGCCTAACAACCATCTTCTCCTCCTTGAAACAACTTTTTATTGCCAAAAAACAAAACCATGCATGAAATACTCAAGAGTAAAAAAATTAATTAGAAATTTTTTTATTCCCTGGAACACTCAAGTGTGAATGGTGAAACACACCTCATGCTACTTTTTCTTCCCAGAAAAGAAGGCACAAGTGCAACTTTTGCCACCATCCACACCTGAGCGTTTTGTTTCCTGAAGTGTGACAAAGCTCACCATCAACAATCCCAATATTTCCAATGGTTCTTCTTCATACAAGTATTGTGTCGTGCGTCAGCTATAGGTCAAAAATAAACATGAGCTTCTTTTCAGGCAGATGTGCGTTTTTGGCCCCACTCACTTCAAAAAGGAGTGTTAAAAAACCGCGTGCAACACGCAATTTTTTTGTGCCAGTCTCCTCCTACTACTTTGCTTCCTTTAGGCTAAAAACAAAAACCTTTATGCCTGAAAAATTGTACAAAAAAAAAGCTCAAAAATTGCCTGAGCCCCTATTCACACATCCCATTTATGGGTCTGTCACAAGTCATGCATAAGGCAGCTGATCTGTTTTAATGCGTTGTCCGAAGGGTGGCGAAGATCTCATGCACCTTCTGGAGCTTTGAGGTGGAAAAAAAAACCCCACACATCTTGCTCTTTGTGCAAAGTAAGAAGTGCATAAAAAAAAAAAAAAAACACTTCACAGTTAGAGAGCTTCAAGTGAAAAATGCACAAAAGAACTGCAACATAGGTTGTGGGATTTTGTGTGCGGTCACGTACATAGGCATGTTCATGGAGACTGAAAACAATCGCGCTCAAGTGTGAATCAGCCAATGCTCGGAGACCTCAGGCTACTTTTGTGAATGGCAACCAATATTTACAGAAAATGGAGCCATCAGAGAGGTGTAACTTTTTGAAAATATTTGTAAGATAAACACCATAGGACATTTAAATCACTTAAAGGAGAACTCTGGGCAAATCAAATCTTAACCCTTGCAGTGGGGCTACCCACACACTGCAAGGGTTAAAGTGACATTAAAGACAACAAAAAAATGTCCCTCCCATGTTAATTAAAGCACTTACCTTAAATGATGTCTCTTAACCCGATCTTTCCTGTTTTCATCTGTCTCTCCAGCGGGTCTCCGATCCAGCGCCAACTCCTCTGTCCTTGCTGGCACTTCCTGTCCCACGGTGTCTGCATGCGGGTGCACGCATCCATATACTTACCTTGTGTCTCTCTCCTCGTCTCCCGGCTGCAAATCTGAACTGTGCATGCGCCCTCCCCCAAGATGCTTTGCGGCCGCCCGAGAATTTTCACATTTTCGGACGGGAGCGCGCGGGGCAGACAGGGGTAAGTTTAACTTAACAACTGCCTGCTAGCAATAGATATATGCAAAAACACCGGAGGGTTTAACAATACATTAAGTGCTCATTTTCTCTAGGGAGCTCAAATAAAGTTGTACTACCCCAAACTGTGATCTCAGCCGGCTCTTAGTCAGTTTAGCCTCGTTCCCCCTCCGCTCCAGTGGTCTACGATCCTGTGAGTCATCACGTTTTATACACTGTATCCCCTGAGGGACATACCATCGCTGGAGCAGAGGGGGAGACAGGCAAACACTGACAGCTGGCATTCTCCATGTTTCAGGTGAGTATAACTGTTGTTCTAGCTCCCTAGACCCTTGCAGTGTGTTGGTAGCCCTGCTGCAAGGGTTAAGATTTGATTTGCCCAGAGTTCTACTTCAACACATGTTGACATTGTTTGGAGGAATACTGGAATTTGTTGCATCCCTTACAAATAATATGCTGGGAATTTATCAAAACTGGTGCAGACAGACTCTGGAGCAGTTGCTGTGGTCACCAATCAGCTTCTCTCTTCAGTTGGTTAAAAGCTTTGACAATGAGAGAGAAGCTGATCGGTTGCCATGGGAAACTGTTCCAGTTATGATAAATTTCCCTCTATGAGCTTTACTAAGCCCTGGTTCACACCTAGGAGTTTTTGAGTAGTTGGAAAAGCGCTTTTAAAAAGGAGAACTATGGGGTCAGGGCTTTTCCCCAGTTCTCCTAAGGGTCACGGGAGGACAGAAACTAGCGTCCTCCCGTCACCCTAAGCTACAGCTTGCGGTATACTGAGACGCCGCAGCGGATCCAGACATCAATGTCGAGATGATGACAGACCTATCTAGAGGCAGAGCCAGCTGTACCCGCCACCTCCCCCGTCCGTTCCGCCAGTCAGCCCTTGCGGATCAGAGCGGGGAATCCATCCCCTCCCCTGTCACGGCAGAGAGCCGTGACAGGATCGAGAGGCGAGCGAACCCGGTATGTGTTCGCTCACCTCCCGATCTACTGAGCCGACCTGTGACAGTCTCATTGTCACAGGTCGGCTAGAACTATGAGGTGAGTGAAAAGCACTCACCTCATAGCTCTCCTTTAAATGCCCAACACAAGAAATCCCATGATTTTCAATGGGTCACACCTGAGCAGAAAACACATGAAAATATACAGGAGCTTCTTTGGGCAGTTAAAAGTGCCTTTCTTCCTCATAAACTTCATTGAAAATGCCCACAAACGCGCAACAGAAGCATATTGTAAATTTTCGTGAGCGTTTTTGCACGTTTATACGCACGTTCTTCCATTGCCCACAATGTTTATGACCTGCCAATCAAAAGGCACGCATACAAATGTGTAGAACGGCAAATAACCGCATGCTGTTAACGCGGAGAGGTGAAGAGATCTAAACTGGAGCAGACAAAACCCAGTTTAAAGCTTAACTGAACAAGCCAAATACAGGGCGCATTGGTTGCCATGGACAACAGCTCCAAATCCCATCTGCTCCAGTTTTGATAAAGTCCCAGCAAAATCTGGAGAAGTTGTGAATGGCAACCAATCAGCTTCTAGGTTTCATTTTTAAAGCTTAACTAAAGATGTAAACTGATTGGTTATCATGCACATCGGCTCCAGTTTTAGTGTCTCTAGTTTATCTTCTCACCCATCTTACTATAGAACTACAAGGGTGACTAAAAAGGGAGAAAAGTATCAATCGCCTACACAATTCACACACGTGCAGCCTTTCTTCAGATGCGTTACTGAGGATCAGACCCACACCATGCTCACTGCTCTGCACCGCATGCTGCCTCCCCCCGCCGTACAATGCGCACCCCCCTTCACACTCACCCGCTGTCCTCCATACCCCAGGGACCCGTCAACCTACACGAACGTGTTTCCCTAATACTAGTGAAGTAAAAGGAATACCCACCTATAGTAATAGACATCGCTCTTCCCAGCAGACAGCCCTGATCTCCGGGTCACCTCTTCCTTCTTCCAGCCCTGCGGCAACGCCGAACATTCCCAACGTTTCCTCTCCATTTCGCTCCCGCCGGTCACTTTCTGGACCTCCAGCGGCCGTATCCCTCCGCCGAGATTGAAGTGCGCCGATTGGCTCTCGACTCCATGTGCCGAGACGCACTCATTGGAAAACATGGCGGAAGGAGAAAGTCGTGCGATCTACTATTGTTGTAAGCGCCGAAATTGGAGCCGCAGCGGCCGTGACGCAGATATCGCGATACTCGGCGCCATGTTGACCTTTCAAAAGCTCTTTTGTTCTGAACTGTGCTTGTACGTGTATGTCTCATTGGCTGGCACTACGTAATAAATTAGGGGATTGTGTTTGTTTTTAAAAATGTAGATTAGATCCTAGCTGGTGAAAGAATCCAGTCCTTCCAAGTTACAGACTTGGCTTAAAGTGTAAGGCCCTGTTCACACCAGGGTGTATCCTGTATTTACGACACGTGCACAAAGGTACTGGCACCCCAGATGCACAAACATGCAGGGAATAAATGTGGAATGCATGTTGTCACATGTGACATACTATTACTCGACGTTGGCGCAGATCCAATGGAGGTCCACTGACACGTTTTCGGGCCAATTTTGCAGTGTACGAACCCTTAAACTGTTGTCAGGCCTGCACTTTCTTGTTTCAATCAATGGAAAGGTAGTTACTTGAAGAAGATGGTAGTTACACACCAAAATCACAGTTTTCAGGTGGGACAAAAACAATCGATTTTGCTATAAAAGAAGTTCATGTACTTATTTTCTCTAGCTTCAATCACCTAGTGACACAACACTCAGGTGTGAACGGGCACCATTGAAAATAACAGTATTCTTCACGTTGAGCGTTCTCGCACTTTGGGGGGCTACATGACAAATTGTTTAGGTCAGGGGTGCACACACGTCTGGAGATTTACTTTTCAAATGACGAGCTCAATGAGATCTACCAACGAAAAAACACCATCTGTAGCGTCTGACACATTCAGCTGCACGAGCACGGCGGGAGCATAGCCGTAGACAGCTCCTTTTGCGTCTGATGCAAGACAAAAACCTGTGACACCCCCACCCCCAC